TAATAGTAACTAAATCCCGAAACAGTCGAACGAATTGTTGTTTATTATATCTTTCTGTACTGTATATGTGTGACGCTGAAAAGAAAGTTGGCGTTACAACATCCGGGACGTATTAGATGCGTTAGGATGGTACATTTTAAGCATACTCCCTCTGGAGTGTTGAGCCCATATGAATTCGAGGTGAGTATCGATTACAGATCATTCTTTTCACACTTCTGTCGAGTGAAGACGCTTTCTGTTTTTATCCGAAGCTGTCTGTTTTTGCCCACCTCCTCCCCTTTTCCCTAAAAGGACAGTGTAGCGGAGCAGTCATCCGACTGCGTGAGATAATCAACGGTGTTAAATGGGCGTCGGCATGTTTAAGTTTTAAGGCAGCAGGACTGGGTTGGTATGAAATTTCTCACATTTACTGGAAGTCCAGTAAGAAATGAGAAATTTCATATCTATCTTATTGACTACGTTCAAAATTTTCTTTTGAAAGGTTACCTTTCTTAACTTTTACTTTTAACTTGCATTTCAATTGCTGATTGCTGCGTGTTTCCTACGGTGTTATTGTTCACATTTCTAGTCATATTCTTTTCGCATAGCTTGGGATCATTTTCCATACGTTATGTTTAATAAGTTAGCGTTGTTGTTATTGTCCATACTGCTTTTCCAAGGTTATACATGACTTGTAACTTTATCACCTGTTTTACGACCTTTCGTAAGTTTATTTGACATTGTAAGAAAACTTTATAAATAAACTGTTTTTGTAACCACGGGACAATTTACATTTTATCTACAAGGCTCATGTCCAAGTCTCTCAGTTATTTCAAGGCTGTAACATTTTGCTTGTTACATTTCGCGTTAAAAATATTGTTTCATTTTGCGTCAAAAAGTTGTTACATTTTGCGTTAAAACGTTGTTACATTTTGCGTCAAAAGTTGTTACATTTCGGGTTAATGTTACATTTCGCGTCAAAAGTTGTTACATTTCGCGTTAATGTTACATTTTGCGTCAATTGTTACATTTTGCGGCGTAACAGCATCTGTACACAGGCTAGCTTCAGCTCACTGAAATCCCTTCTCTTCCAAATGGATGATGTTGACCCCAGATATATTCCAGGGACGGGTATATGAATTAAAGTAGTTGGCAGGGAATTCAACAGCCAGGAATATATTTCTGTTTTATTTTCCTTTTGATTCCTTGGAGAGTTACTGGTGGTCATGCTCATA